TCTTTTAGGCCCTCGTAGCACAGGATCCTTCTTTAAGGCCTGTAAGGGGGGGAAGGGCACGACTACTACTACTTGCCCTCGTAGCACAGGATCCTTCTTTTAGGCCCTCGTGGCACAGGATCCTTCTTTGAGGCCTTTTAGGCGGGGGGCTACTACTACTACTTGCCCTTTCGAAGGGGGGGGCACGACCACTACTACTTTTCCCAGTTCGAGGGGGGGGCCACGACTACTACTACTACTACTACTACTACTACTACTACTACTACTACTTTTCCCAGGTCGACGGGGGGCACGACTGCTAGTACTTTCCCGATTGCGGGGGGGGCACTACTACTACTACTACTACTACTACTACTACTACTACTACTACTACTACTACTACTACTACTACTACCTTCTTGGGGGCGTCCTGGGCACGTGGGCGTGAATAGGTCAGAGGCCTCATGTGAGCTGCGTAACAACAAAGGACTTCACGCGTGTGAAATATGGTTCTTTACATTTTGAATGAGGCACGGCGCCATACCCGCGACAGTCTCTTCCAGCCTGAAGAACTTCTGTGTGGACACAAAGGATGTACAGTTGAATTAGTGGGCAACTGTATTGTTTGTCATCAGCACTCAGAATGATCCTCTTTGCACAATGACCCCAACCAGTCCTTCGTCCTCGTCTCATCCTGCTTCGCAAAAATGAAGCCCACTGCACCCAAGAATTGCTGCAGACATTCAGATTCATGATTCAACGGTTCCTTGAATGTATGTACTAGAGGCTAAGGACTGAGGAGTTAACGGCCCCAAAATTGAAGTATACCAAGTCATCAGGGAAAGGAAATTTGATAGAAAGCATGTTTGGCCTAAGTCATCAGCCTGAATACTACAACATAAGACTTCTGGATCGCGTTTGAAAAAAGCATTGAAAAACAAGGGCTCAGGCTCAGGACAATGACCAAGGACTTCTGCTGGAAACCTTTGTTTAAAACCACTGTGTTCTGTGATCAAAGAAACATAGAGATAGAGAGAGAGAGAGAGAAAAAAAAAATAAAAGGCGCTGGTTGTAACCCTAGCTGTGGAATCTTGACCAAAACTCGAAGTCATGACCTAGGACAAGTGGCCAGAGAAGTGCTACAACCATTCAGGATGACATACGAAATCATATGAACAAAGGGTTGCTGAAAAATGCGCCAACTGCACATGTCATGATGCATGTGATTTGTCTATCAAACATTGAATTCAACAGTTACTATGTTGTGATTATGTTTTCTTCTTGATTCCTGAGGAAGGTAAACATACCTTTTCACCATACACCTGACATTAATTGCTAGAATCCCTCAGAGAATTAAAAGAATTAAACAAATTAAATGATTTATATAATTAGTTTAACTCGTTTAATTGTTCCGGATCCCTGAGAGAATTAAAAGAATTAAATGATTTAGTGCGTTTAGTTCGTTTAACTAAATATTGACAGCAATGAAGACTTCTTGGCAATTAATTGATTAAAATAGTTATGAGAATTAAGGGAATTAAAAGCTTCAATTCTTTCAATTATTTAAATTGTTCCGGGTGCCTCGGAGAATTAAATAGTTAAAAGAATTACAGTAAGAGATTGAATTATTTTAATCCTTTAAACTTTTAACTGTTCCAGGTCCCTTCGAGAATTCAAGGAATTGAATAACTTAACTTGGTTCATTCGTTTAATTGTTCCGGGTCCCTGGGGTCCCTCAGATAATTAAAAGAATTGAAATAACTAAATTGTTTAACTTATTCTAATTCTTTTAATCGTTCCGGGTCCCTCAGAGAATTAAAAGAATAGAAAGAATTTAAATGATTTACTGATTTACTTATTTTAATTATCTAAATGCTAGGGAAGTCTTCATTTCTGTCAACATAATGCAGTGCGAAATGGTACCTAAAGGTCCCTCTATCGTATGTATATATATATATGCATATATCCATTCTGTTTGAGCCCCATCTCCATGTGTTTCGTTTCATAAGACTTTTGACAGAAATCGACTCCTCACCCTTCTCTGCCACAAACCCAAACCTGCGGGTTTGCAGCGAACAGGCAGAGCACATGTGAACCAACAGGCAGAGCGCCTCATGTGTCTTTGACGCCCCCCTTTCATCGAACATGTGACCGCCAGATGAGTCACACTCACAAGCTGCGGATCTGTCCATCATGGGTTTAACTCACATGGTCCCCCTCATGTGACTTGCCAGGTGTCCCCCATGTTCGCCTCGCCCAGGGCGCCCCGGCCGCGGCCCCCATCGACACCGTCCGATGGATCCATTGCGGCGGTTGGGCGGTTGAAGGCGGCGGGCGTGGCATGGTGTCCTTCGATCCGTTGGGTCCTTCGGGATTTCAAGCACCGTTGTGGGTGCACCGAGGGGAGCCCACACACATCATAAAAGAGCAAGAGCTTGCGAGTTCTTCCATTCTTGCATGCAAAATCGGGGCGGTGTTGGAATTAAAACCTTCACAAAGGAAGCTTTGGATGAACCCAGAGGCTGATTTCAGTTTCAGGCTGCTTCCAGATGCTGGAGCCAAAGCGGTTTCAAATTGTTCGGGGCAATGCGCAAAAAAATATCCGAGCAGGACGTTAAAAAGAAAAACAGCTTTAGTTTTGCACCAAAGGCATTAGGACTGAATCCCAAAGAGATGGTTTGGAATCTTTAGGTCTAAACACATTATGTTACTGTTCGATTTCTTTTGATGGTTCAATTCCCAAGCAAAAATCTGGACACCAGCGGGACTGTCCCAACGTGTTAGGGCTTTTCCAGTCCATCCTGCAGCGAGATGAGAGTCTCAAGCCTGGAACGGTGTAGGGATTTTCGGATGTTTCTGGATCTACCATCTCTGGCTTAGTCGGAAGGTGTAGGAAAACCAGTGACGATCTTCCGGTACTGATGTATCTGACATATTATATGGGCGTGGAGAAAATGCGACCATCACAAAAAAACCTGTGCATGGACCAAGGCGTGCACCTGAATAGCAATGGATTCAAAGGATACCCGCTTCGCTGTCCACACTTCGCTGCTGTGGCGGTCTCTCCACCCAGCTGGAAGCCTCCGTGACTGGTCGTCAGTGTCTCCTTCTGGATGGTCCCGGCTTCGGGTCCCGTCTCGCACCCGTCACACCCACGAGTTGAACACCGACACCCTCAGGACAACGGTTTTAGGTTCCATGGTCGGCACCCGGACAGCGACGCAGCGTCGCTGGAGAAGCCCGGACGGTCGCTGTTCCGGAGCAGGTGCTTCCCCACGACATACAGTAGATTGGACCTCAATATTCAATCCCCTTGAGTCAGTAACTGTCACAGAACCCATTGGATTGAAGGTGTTTGTATCCTCCATCTACGTCTTCACGTCCGTCGACGTGTGGCGATCTCTCCATCCGTCGACGACCGATCCATAGAGGCCGCCATCGAAGTCTCGACCAACACCGACGTGTCACGAAGAGTTTGTTGGGACCCCTTTGCCAGAGTGTTCAAGGCTCTTGGAGATCCCCAAGGGGAAACACCGGAGACCCTTCGTAAGCCGCGGCGGTGAAAACGGAGAAAGGACGTCCAGTAAGCCGTCTGCCAGCAGTCACGTAAGACCGGGGTGCCGGTTCCGAACGGAGGAAGGAAGGAGGGATAGGGATGCCCAAGCATCGCATCACACGAGCCCTGGATGGGACGAGCCACAAAACCACCCCACTCCATGTGACTCCTGGTGGGTTTAGTGTCTGTACATCATGTCTACAGGACCCACCAAACGACTGGGCAGAGACCACTGTGCTTTCCATCGCTCTCAGAGAGCAGCCCAGCCCGGCTGGTCAGCGAAACGGGAGAAGCCCATGGTGTTACGCAAGACACGGTGATGCATGGATGGCCAGCGAACGCAATGGGTGTTGGCTTTCGTGGTGACACGAAGCAGATCCTGAAGTGTGAGTGTTCGAGGTGACAAATAGAGCAACCAAACAAAGACTGTGACCTCCATCCCCTGGCAATTCCATGCTTCTCAAAACGAGTGCCAAAACAGACATTTACGCACTGTTGGCACATCACCCACAGGAATTACGGGGTTTCTCTGCAATGCTGATATATAACTATAAGGCAACCAGGCACCCCTGCATGAGAAGACCACAAAGCCTTCTCAGTTTGTCATGCAACAAATTAGTTCTCATAACGCTCCAAAAGCAAAAAATTGTTCGACTTCTTTCCATCTGAGACCCTCACCACGGAGAGCTTCAATGTCAAAAAAGTCATCTGAGACCCTCTCCATCTGAGACCCCCGCGAGACTCTTCGACTGACCCTCCCGGCTACATTTTCTCCGCATTTCCACGCGGGGTCAGCGAGGAGAACTCAGATCAGGCCGCCACCCCAAAGCACACGGTCCCGTTCGAACTCGTCCTGAGGTAGAGGAACAAAGCGGACAAAAACCGATAAGAACGGAGCACAGAAGCTGCAAAAGTGATGCACTGACAAAGGAGGCACTATGCTGAAACCAGTGTAGAAGCAAGTGACAAGACGATTCTTTTCAGCCGAAGAGTTGTGATTTGATGCAGTACTCTGGGTGGTGGTGATGTTTGAACTTTTCTCAACCCCCCAGAACATCTGCTTTTGTCTCCTTACTGAAGGTCACAAATGATCACAAAATGGCGTCTTGTCGGGTAAGCAAATGTGAATGGAGCAAACATCAAACGAAAAGATCGAGGACATGCATTAAACTGTTCCAAGCAATGCTCATCCCTTGTTTACCACAAAAATGCACCTGCAATTGGATTTTTCGGAAACAACTCTAGTGGCATTGGCGTCCAGTGCCTAGCACCAAAACCCAAAGTGCCATGGTAAGAAGGCTGGGCAACAAACAGGAACACATGTGTCTTGGAATAATTCAACAATGCTTTGTCTCAGGGAACCTGCCATGAATCAGCATGCATGAATCAAACACAAGGCAGCCAGACATACCTGTCTAACTGCCACATCCATGCGCTGAGCATTCCACAATGCAAGCACAGGCTCGGCTCAGCCTTTACCAGTGTTGTTGCTGGAGGGTTTGGGCGTACACTGGCCGTGTCAAGAGTTGACTGATCAGGTCCCGGCGCCGAAAAGCACCGCCCCCAGCGAAGCCCCAGCCGATCCACAGAACTGGCCTTCCGACAGATTTCCACAATCTTGCGGTCATTTTCCTGGCGAAAACTGGACGGACCAGAGGACCCGGGGGGGCCACAGCCAAAAACACGGTCCTGCCATACCGTTGGTAAAAGCAGGGGAACATCCTAGACCTTGGTCGGATGGACTTGCCATTCCAAACCAGCATGGTGGTGGTGGGAGGTGCCACGGTGCCTTCTCTGCGCTGGGTTTTCAGCACGCGGAAACTGACGGAGACGTCACGTGGTTTTGGGTCTTCCACTCCCAAACACTCCATGGGACTGCTATATATGCCGCCCCATTGACCCCCCTGGCACCACCCCAATGTAGGCATATATAGCAGTCCCATTAGTTGTGTCTGGGACTGCAATGCGTCGCTTTCGTGGAGTTCCCCATGTCTTTGGCCGAAGAAAATGGTTTTTTTCCGCGCCGCCGCGAGGGACCCGAAGCGGCCGGTGATGGTGCCATCGCCGTGCCATCGCCGTGCGGTGCGCTCGCCACTGGTTCGTTTCCAAGGAGTGTATATGACACCTGCAAAACCGCCAGATTCGCGTGTGTTGGACAGTATCATCACCCTCTTTTTTTGAACAATCATAGAAGTGGATGGCATGGCCCATGATTGAGACCATGTTCCTCTACAAACAGGAGATGAACTCCACTTCCATGTTTGCTGAAGGGAGGGTATCGACTGGAGCCGGCAGTCTTCTGTCCATTCCATGACTGCCAGGGAGGATCCAGTTTCTGGATCGAGTCAAAGAGCTGGGTCCACAGGGCGTGTGGAAGCACTCCACCAAGGATTTCTAAGGACGTACTCCAACATCACTAAAACGTAAGAAGCCAAAGAAGGGAGAGGTCTTTCACTTGGGTGATATTATGTCAAAAAGAAGTACTCAAAGAAGTTGGCCCTTCAATCTCAAGGACTTCTGCAAAAGATGTCTCCCGTACCCGACACCATGAACACAACCTAACCCCCCACTCTTCCGTTTTTTAGGGTGTGTATCTGAATAAGGCGACCCGCCAACTATATACCCATTGGTTGGGAGTCTCGGAGTCTCCTCATTGAAACCCAAAAACCACCCATTGGCCCATACCACCGACACTCTCTGACATCATAGAAACGTGGATGGCCTCACTACCCTGAAGGTCGGATGACCCTGAAATGCCTCGTGCCAAACCTCCACTTCCATGTGGCTGTGGGTCATGACCCCAACGATACCTTGCTAGCCTTGCCCTAAGAAGAAGAAGGTCAGATCGCTCGCGCACCAAATGAGACCCGAGCTCCAGCTTGTGACCCAGTGGGCCATGTGGCGTTTCGTGCTCCGTGTACCCCCCGGTTCGCCATCCCCCACCCCATCCGTCCGGTTCCACCGCACCGAGAGGTGGGACAGGTCCGCATCTTCCGGAGCGTCGATGGCCTTCCGGAGGGTGTCGTACCTGGGAAGGAAGCCGGCCCCAGCGGTGGCCAGAACCGAGCGGATCGGACTCCACCGGTGAAAGAAGCCACAGGCTGCCCCTAAAGGCCCCTAAAGGCCCCTAGTGAAGGGAGGTCCCAAAAAAAAACAAAAGAAGACCCGCACCCCACTAAAACGGCCTCCCGGTGGAGATATGTTTTGGTTGGTCAGTGGATGCCTTTCAATGATCTTTCATGTGATCATGTGATCTTATGTTTTCGCGCTTATCTCGTGTACAGATCCGGAAAAAAACATGCTTTTGTTGGAGGGGATTTGGTGACGAAGATATACCCTATCAGGAGCGTTCTACCGGTTTCTTCAGTGTCTTTCAAGCTCGTTCCCCTTTGTTTTCCAAGTCCCTAAGCCCTAACCCCTAATCTCCATTACAGAAGCACCCCGTCTTGTGACTGCTGGTATAGGCCAATCCCCAACAAGGCTTCGCTGGGACTGCCATCTTGGCCGAGTACCTGGGGTGTTTTTCGGAGACGACGGTCCGTCTTCGTGGGGGCGAGCTTCCTTGAGCCCCTCACGAAAACAGGTTCACCCTCCGTCGTTGAAGTAAGGGATAGGTACAGGTGTCAAATCAACTTGAGTCCACCCAAATGACCTGGATATGGAAGTCTCGAGCAAGAATGAGTATTTTCATACCTTCCCTGGTGCCTTTCACGCGAGCCATCCTCTCTCTTGTGGTCGTGTACTTCCTC